CGCAGGGCGGAGAGTGGAGGTGAGCTATTACTGATTAGTTTTGTCCAGGTGAATTCAGAAATATCATGTTCATGCCACATCATCAGAGTCGCCTCACCAATCAACATAATATTTTCAGGGATGAGGGTCCAGGGGACCCATTTGTATTTGTTCTCACTTCTCACCTTGTTTCTTTGTTGAATCTGTATCCCTTAGTCTCTTTACAAACCAAACTATGTACTTTTTCATGGATAGAATTGCTATATGCCATGGGATGTACAAAAATGCAACTTTGTGCCTAGCTCTAGGCTAATAAGAAGTGTATTTCATTAAAATATCATGTTTTGTTTGTATGTTGAATGGTTTGCATATGAAGATAATTTCCAGCGGCTGCTAATATGTTATGCAGCCCTCTCCTTTAAGTGACCATCCCACCTTAGCATTAGTTTTCAGTTGAGATAGCAAGATTGGGGTCCCTGGCGTGCAATTACCGGTTTGGGTACTCACAACATCGAAAAATGCTTCAAATCGAAAATATTTGATCTCAAAGTTGCAGCACTTGGATTCAGAAGGGCTAATGTTTTTGAATGTCCCCCTCTGAATGTGTGACGTCAGCGCAGATCTGACGATTTTAAAATATTTTACTAAAACGTTTGGTAACACCTGGTGATATATGCTGCATTGCGCGCAACATCTGCCGCACTTTAAGCATGCCAAATTAGGTATTGCTTCCAAATGACGTCGTAGGAACAGCGGAGGTCCCAAAAAGTAAAAAGTAATACAGCAGCTGGTCACAGCTGGACCAGTGGCGTGTGTTACATACACGCGCTTAGACAATGTGTACACCCTTCCTAAATCTGGTTGGTTTCTTTTCAGGGGATTGTGTTTATCTATTGGTCATCATGCATCAGCAGTGTGCGTCCATCTTGTGCTCCACTGACCTAGGCGCAGTTCCATGCTGTTCATTGCCATGCAGTCCCATGTTCAATCCACTCCTGTTCGTCTCCTCAGTCACCCGGAGACCTTGGCCTACTCCTGGTCCTCTACGCCCGCCAGCGCCTCTTCGTCTGCGGCCCCCGCCAGCGCCGCTTCGTCTGCGGTCCCCGCCAGCGCCGCTTTGTCTGCGGTGCCGACCAGCGCCCTTCTGCATGGCACCTCGCCTGATGTAGCCACGCAGGGCGGAGAGTGGAGGTGAGCTATTACTGATTAGTTTTGACCCGGTAATGGTAAAAATTAGATTAGAAATTAGATTACCTCAGTCTGATAAACTATGTTTTGTTTCACTTCTTTGATTTCACTGGGTGACCCGGTAATGGTAAAAAACAATAAATATTAGACCTGTTGTCACAGTGGTTAAGTTATACCCCGCACCTTTAATGCCCACCTAATCGAGTCTTTTTTTAGGTATTTTACCAACCACTGTTTCTATTTCAGTTGAGAGGCATGGGTGCGGCGAACACCAACCCCACGGCAGTGGAGGCCAAGAACCGCCTCCGCCTGCTCCTCATAGGAGCTGCGCCGACAGTGGCCGCCGCAACCCACGATGACCCGCGCGAGTCCGGGGCCTCAGTACTGCTGGAGGAGAAGGAGCCGACTTACCTGAGCGCCACGACGCTGGACCTGGACCACGAGCCGCCAGTGGAGCCAGAGGTGCCGGACGCGGACGTCACCGCGGTGGAGAACCTGGTGACCGCCCGCCAGCCGTGTCCGGGACCCGCAGCCAGCGCCGGCGCCGCCCCGCCACCTGCAAGCCTTCCCTCTGGAGCAACCGGTGTCGCCAGTCTCTCCAGGCAGGCGCTGGCGTACGTCGCGGGGTACGTGGCCGCTAAGTGCGCCACAGTGGACAGCACGCTCGGCAAGATCACGTCCGATGCCAGCGAGGTACCCCGTGACGAGCGCTACGCCTGGATTGACACCCTCAGCCGCGGCGGCCTCACGGTGCCCAGCGCGCGGTGGCTCGATGAGGTTGAGCAGCTGGAGGTGCTGTTCACCACGATGCACGGAGGAGATGTCGACCGCGGCCCCGGCGTCGTTAGGCGACTTGCCGAGGCTGCTGCGCTGAAGATCCCGCAGCTGCATCCATACGTACTGAGGAAGTACGCTATGACTAGGACGCAGCTGCGGGTACGTGAGATCCGGCGCCTCATCGGCGACAGAGAACGTCTCCGAAAGGAGCAGCCTACCTGCAGCCGGGAGGCCAAGCGTGCGCGCCTGTACGTGCATCCTGGTGATTAGACTTCAGCGTGGCCCTGCTTTGTGTGCCGCGCCGGCTGTGGCGGAAGCCGGCGGCGGCGTGCCACAAGACTTTAGCGTGGCCTCGCTTTGTGTGCTGCGCTGGCTGTGGCGGGAGCCGGCGGCGGCGTGCCGCAAGACTTCAGCGTGGCCTCGCTTTGTGTGCTGCGCCGCTGCGCTGACTGTGGCAGGAGCCGGCGGCGGCGTGCCGCAAGACTTTAGCGTGGTCTCGCTTTGTGTGCTGCGCCGCTGTGCTGGCTGTGGCAGGAGCCGGCGGCGGCGTGCCGCAAGACTTTAGCGTGGCCTCGCTTTGTGTGCTGCGCCGCTGCGCTGGCTGTGGCGGGAGCCGGCGACGGCGTGCCACAAGACTTTAGCGTGGCCTCGCTTTGTGTGCTGCGCCGCTGTGCTGGCTGTGGCAGGAGCCGGCGGCGGCGTGCCGCAAGACTTTAGCGTGGCCTCGCTTTGTGTGCTGCGCCGCTGCGCTGACTGTGGCGGGAGCCGGCGGCGCCGTGCCGCAAGACTTTAGCGTGGCCTCGCTTTGTGTGCTGCGCCGCTGTGCTGGCTGTGGCGGGAGCCGGCGGCGGCGTGCCGCAAGACTTTAGCGTGGCCTCGCTTTGTGTGCTGCGCCGCTGCGCTGACTGTGGCGGGAGCCGGCGGCGGCGTGCCGCAAGACTTAAGCGTGGCCTCGCTTTGTGTGCTGCGCCGCTGTGCTGGCTGTGGCAGGAGCCGGCGGCGGCGTGCCGCAAGACTTTAGCGTGGCCTCGCTTTGTGTGCTGCGCCGCTGCGCTGACTGTGGCGGGAGCCGGCGGCGCCGTGCCGCAAGACTTTAGCGTGGCCTCGCTTTGTGTGCTGCGCCGCTGTGCTGGCTGTGGCGGGAGCCGGCGGTGGCGTGCCGCAAGACTTTAGCGTGGCCCTGCTTTGTGTGCTGCGCCGCTGTGCTGGCTGTGGTTGGAGCCGGCGGCGGCGTGCCGCAAGACTTTAGCGTGGCCTCGCTTTGTGTGCTGCGCCGCTGCGCTGACTGTGGCGGGAGCCGGCGGCGCCGTGCCGCAAGACTTTAGCGTGGCCTCGCTTTGTGTGCTGCGCCGCTGCGCTGACTGTGGCGGGAGCCGGCGGCGCCGTGCCGCAAGACTTTAGTGTGGCCTCGCTTTGTGTGCTGCGCCGCTGTGCTGGCTGTGGCGGGAGCCGGCGGTGGCGTGCCGCAAGACTTTAGCGTGGCCTCGCTTTGTGTGCTGCGCCGCTGTGCTGGCTGTGGCAGGAGCCGGCGGCGGCGTGCCGCAAGACTTTAGCGTGGCCTCGCTTTGTGTGCTGCGCCGCTGCGCTGACTGTGGCGGGAGCCGGCGGCGCCGTGCCGCAAGACTTTAGCGTGGCCTCGCTTTGTGTGCTGCGCCGCTGTGCTGGCTGTGGCGGGAGCCGGCGGTGGCGTGCCGCAAGACTTTAGCGTGGCCTCGCTTTGTGTGCTGCGCCGCTGCGCTGGCTGTGGCGGGAGCCGGCGGCGGCGTGCCGCAAGACTTAAGCGTGGCCTCGCTTTGTGTGCTGCGCCCCTGCGCTGGCTGTGGCGGGAGCCGGCGGCGGCGTGCCGCAAGACTTTTATGGTATTGGTGATCAATGATCATTCACATTCGTGATCGTGGTAACCTCGGTTATTTGCCGTTTGTGAGACTGTTTGGCGCGGTGAGAACTGATATTTGCAGAGCTGAGTTCGGACCGAGCATGTTGGTTCTGCGCTGTTGGTTACTACTCTGTGCTCGTGGTAAATTCACATTATCATTTATACAATTAATGACAGCTCAAGTTTCGCCTCAGTTTTGCGTGTGAGTGGTGAAGCTTGTTTTCGTTTTAAAGTCGTTAATGTGTGTTTTGTGCGCATATTTTTAACCCGGACTTCTTGAAGCATTGAGATGAATATACGAATCGCTGGGAGGGATGCAGATTTTTGGCTCCTCATCAAACTTCCGAATGGATGGTCGAGACAGATTTTTTTGGTGCATTCTCCATCAGTAGGTCAACAAGTCACGTCGATGTCAGGTTAAGTCTGAGACAAGTCACTGCATTGGGTTTAGAGACCAGCTAACGTCATTCAATATTGGAGCGTCCGAGTTCTTAAATGTATGTGGAAACCACTGAACTCTAATGGTGGAAACCGATTTCGCTGCGTGTGGTGGGAGGGTGCTAGCAGCGGCCGTGAAACGTCGCTCACGACGACGTACAGTACGCCGGGATGTCATATAATTAAAACTTTCAGAAAGCGCGTTCTCTCGGCCTTCATTTACACTGGAGATAATAGGTGGACAACCAGCACCATTTCAGAGTTATTTTATTTACAGAAGCGGTTTTGCATCAAAGTCCCTGCCGTAAGTGTTGTGTCTATGCCTGCCGCTGGATATTCGGCATCAGGGATATATAGTTGCGGATGTAAAATAAGAAGCGATGCCAAAATTAGATCAACCAGGAAAGCGACTCTGCCTAATTCAATTCTATCCATTTTCTCACAAATACGCCTATGCTTTACTACGCGGATAATATGCTATTTCTATTTACTGGTAAAGACTCAATTTATAATTTAAGCCTTTTGATAGCTACTTGATTATACATTGAATAACACATTATAATGATTATATTTTGACACAATGTAATAATATAAAGTGTCAATTTATAATAATAGAATTTGAAACATTGGTTAATTTTTAATGTGAACGATATGTACCGTACGCAACTGTTCAAAAGCAGCACACGCATCAATCAGCTGACGCCACATTCCCGGTGGCGCTGCTCACGGTGCACGCCTGCCTGGACCCAGGAGATGGTCTGGCTGATCGCCAACGACCTCGACTACGAGGGCGCCAAAACGCCGATTACGTCCCCCTTCAGGTATGGTCATTGGTCATACAAGTAAGCTGCTTAAAATATAAAAACTTTTCTACTAAACTCTTGGTTAACCCGCGCCCCACTGGGGGGGGGGGCTATTTATAGCCACCCCTCCCGTTTTTCTGCAATAACTTCCAACCCGCTCGATGTATCGACGCCAAACTTTCAGTACCTTCGGCTGCATCAATTTGACACCTTGTGTTAAAATTTGAACTTCGTACTTACCATAGGTCGGCCGGAAACGACGTCAAAGTGACGTCATGTTCGGCCGATTTCGACCCAAAACATTGAACCACGGCAATCGCTCCCAAGAGCTCAGTTTTTAAGCTAGATCCAATTTCTTTGCATGAGAGGACTCAGAATAGACTGCGCTATCAAACTGCTGTCTCGGATTTTCGAAATTTTGAAAATTTAGAAAATTTTATATAATAAAATTCAAAATTTATATTTTTACATTTTTTTTCAAAATCTTTTTGACTTTTCGAACAAAAACGGAATATATGTGATGGAACGCATTATTTTGACTAACTCTAGCAAGTTTTAGCTAAATATCTTCAAAAATAGCCAAGTTATACGCATTATTGCAAAAAGTTAACAATTATTAATTTTTCAAATCAATTTTTCAGCACAAATTTGACATCGTACGCCAATATAAATAGCACCATCGTGTTCCTGAGCTCAAACTGCATCCAATAGACACCTTTTTTGCTGAAAAATTTGAACTTCGAAATTTGACCTTTTTTGACCTGAAAGTGACCTGACCTAAGCAAAAGTTGACTCAAAATGACCTCGAATGACACAGACGACATCAAATTCGAAATTTTTGGCCTAAATGGACCATAAAACATGTGTCACGTGACCGACGGATGATATAATATTTTCGTGATCTGTGATGACCTGACCTTGACCTGAAAATCAAAGTACAAGTTTGGTACCCTCAGAGTATCTAGAACATCTGTTCACGAGTGTGTGAACCAAAAATGAGCCTGATCTGACTTGTAAGACGGCGGCCAGAGCCCAAAACGTGAAGAAGCCAAAATGCTAATAGTTTTTACTTTGACCTGACCTGTGACGTCATCGGTGACCTCGAGGTCAATGAAATTAGGTTTCGCTCGACAGTTTTTCCGGGGCTATCAGACGCCGTTTGAATTTTGACGATTGGATCAGTAGTTTCGGAGTTAGGAGGAGGGGCTATGAATACCCCCCCCCCCCCCCAGTAGGGCGTGTTATACGCAGACCCCAGTGGGGCGCGGGTTAATATTGGACGTGAAATGAATCTAGCCCAGCCCCCACAAGGGGCCGTAAAAACTAGCTGTCACCAGAAGGATGCGCTGCCACTTACCATAAAATACGCGTGTCCAGCTGATGTACTGAGAAAGCAGCGAACTCCGCCGGCCGCCCCGTCTCGGTCAGAAGTGCCGGCCGCTTACCCCGAGGCACACTCGCGGGTCAAACACGGAGCCGATATGCGAAACAGATCATACCATCGCTGCTATAACCGTGGGCACTTGGGCCCTGTTTCACAGCACGACATTGAGCGCGTCTGAGTTTGTTGATGTTGCAATGGAAGTCCAATACAGTGCAGCGATGCGTTCAGCGTGCTGTAGGCTGTAGCGTCGTACCGTGAAACAGGGCCCAGGGAATAATGCATGTTTTTTTAGTACACTGCAGGTCATAGGTAAAAAAACGTTACATTTTATCGTCCTTGCCTTGCTCAACTAAAATAGTTCGTTCTGGGGCATTCCATGTCAACCGGGACAGCCAAAATCGGCCACCTCTGCGATTTTGTTCAAACTTGGTATACTTATTGGCTATTGGGTGAAACCTCTGAGAGTGAAAGGATTTTGTCATATGCCCTCGGGCTACAGAGATACAAGTCGCTAAACTTCTGCTTTATGAGCAGAATTGGACGTGTATTGCAATCTTGAAAGTTCTATAGCTTCAACATTTTTGAAGTTATTAATTTCAAATAAACTGAAACGTGTACATAAGGAGTTATGCTAGTAAAATTTGACAATTTTTACATTTTTCGGTGATTTTGAATTTATTTTATTTTGAATTTATTTCTGAAAATGTAATTTGTGAAAAATGGGTACCCTTCGATTTTGCTCAAATTTAGATATTGTCTTCCACTACACGTAAGGCACAGGTGCTGAGAAAATTAGAGTGGGCCAACGATAACTTTGGATGATACAGCAACAAGTAGTGCAACGTAGCACGGGCGGTGGAAGGGGCCGATTTCGCTAACCCCACCAGTTTATCGCCAATAACTCACGACATAATTATTACATTAACGTTAAACTTTCAGTATCTGTCCAGAATCGAATTGCAAATCCTCCCGCGCAAGAAATAGGTAAATCGGTCCACAACTTTTCTAGTAATAGCGGTGTAAAGTCAAACATTCCTGTCGGAGCGGCTCGGCGGCCGGCGCCGGCCGTTGCCGCCTGAATGGTAGACTGTGCCGGCGCGGGACGGTTCCATCTTTGCACCGCGCTTCTTACCGCTGATTATGATCGATTCGTGTCAAATTTTGTGTGAAGGCTTAAAAATGTACAGGCAATCTAATGTTCAAATACGAAAATCATCTGGTAAAAATGAATTATTAGGGTGCAAACAAAATATGTGACTATGACGTTTCCCGCGTCGGCCGATCCCCGCCTCTGCCGGCGACATCTTACTCTTAGCAAGCCACTAACTGCCAAATTTATGGTAAGATTAACTAGAGATTCTCATAACACTACAAATGTCGTATAAAGGAAGAAATAGGAAAATCGGCCAGTATCTCTTAGAGCTATGGGCGTATAAACGCAAAATAGTCACTATAGCAAATTTGATCACGTTTAACCTCATTTGATCTTGAATATATTGATCTAGGACCATGAAATTGTCACACGATAAAGTTCCCCGCCTACAATTCAAATTCCGTTTTTTTTTAAATACCTTTTTTTGGCTAAACCGGGCTTTTCTCCCCTAGCGCTGGGAGAGTCAGGCGTATTTTCTTTTTGCAACCAAAGAGAGGCGCTGCCCGGAGAATGCCCAATTTCATCATTAAAAACTGGCTTACGATGACCAGCTATCTTCGTGGCTTAGTAGTAAGTGTGCCGAGTGTACCCACCTCGAAATCTAAAGGTCGCTGGCTCGCAGCGGGTCAGCCTGAAGTGCTAAACACGCATTTGTTTTTTAAGTAGCATCTGGCCAGCCGGCAACTGTCGTGAGGGCTAATGTTCGTATCTAGGTAGCATTTGGCCAGTGGGCAACTGCCGTGAGGGCTGTACATATTTACGCGTGTTAGATTAGGTCAGGTCACGTCAGGTCAGGTTGGGTTTGCTTTGGTTTGGTTGGGGTAGAAAGAAGCATCTCCGGGTAGCGCCTCTTCTTGGTTGCTAAAACGAAACACGCGAGTGCCAGACATTCCGAAGTCCAAAAGAGAGTTACGTAGACGTCGGCCCATTCTGGATTTTTTATATGATGTAGCTTATTTATAGGAGAATAAAATATGTAAAAATCAGCAAAATCGAAGGGTACCCATTTTTCAGAAAATCAAAATTTATTTTTTGAATTTTAATTAAGTTCACTAATTAGTTAATTACGTCAATATTGTGGCGGTCACACTTCGGCCTTCCCTCACTGTGCGCGCGCGACCGCCCCTGCGCGTGACCGGACGATCATCCGACCGCCAGCTGACCTTGCCCCGGGGCACTGGAGGTCACAACCCCGTCCCGCTCCGCGCGGGCCAGCGCCGCACGGACGCGGCAGTTATCGACGAGTGCTCGGTGAGTGAACGCAACACGTGGTGGCAGCGGAAAACTGCAACGGAGCCATGGCTATGGCGAAGAATTACCGTTTACCGGAATTTGACGGCAGTGGTAATGTAAAAACGTGGATCAGCAAGATAGAAGTGATTGCCCGTGCTTGCAACTGGGACAGTTCAAAACCGGAACAGAAGACCTCCAGCGATTTCAGTGACGAAACTACGGCGGTGATGGCGCTCCCGGCGATCACCGGTCGGGCATTCGACTTAGCGATGCGCCTCTCCGACGGCGACAGGAACAGCTGGAAGAAACTGTGCGAGAAGTTGAATGCCGAGTTCGACTCTCCCGGACTCGCTGTTCAGTACGCGCTGGAGTTTCATCAGCGTATTCGCAGGCCCGGCGAATCACTGGCGACGTTCCTGTACGATCTGGAAACGTTGTGTGCTCGCGCCTACCCCGAGTGGGAGGACGCCACATACCGCCAGCGGCTGGTGAAGGATCGGTTTCTGATGGGCATCGGAGAAAAGTCGAGGAAACACATACTTTCGTTCTACCAACCAACGTGGTCGACAGAGACGGTTCTCCTGGAGGCGAGAAAGCTGGAGCAGATCGAGACGTCAACGGGAGGCGGCGCATCTGTGGGGGCCGTCCATGGTGCCCCGAAAGGAGAACAGTCGGACGCGTGGAGTACCGGCTCTCAACCTCAGCCCAGCGAGACTTCGGTGCTGTCGGCGCTGTCTGACAAGATCCAGATGCTGGAGGAGCAGATGCAGGCATGTCGCGTATTCCGTCCCAGCCGCGACTACAACCGCTCGTCCCGTTCGTCCAACAGGCGCCGAACACCGAGCCGTCGGAGGGAGGAGGGCTGCTTCAACTGCGGTGAACTCTTCCACTGGCGCTCTGACTGTCCGTACCAACGCCCAGCAGACCGGCGGTCGGGAAACGGGAACGGACCGAGGAGGATGTGAGCCGCCGCTCCTCGGTCCCCGCTGTAGTAGCCTCTTCTAGGGTGGCTCGGACGACTCCGCTGATCCCGGGCACCATCGACGGCGTCCGCGTCACGTGGCTTGCTGACACTGGCAGTGACGTCACGTTCGTCACCAGCAGCTGCCCGGCGGTAGGGTGCAAAGCGTTCCGACCCCTCGTGCACCCTGCATCGGCACCGGTGACTATTGATGGCACGCCGTTGAAGGTGAGGGGGACTGTTGATGCAACCGTCGAGTGTGGTCACCTGCCGCCGCGGCGTCACAC